GCAGATGTTGCTACTACTAAAAAGGAAAGGCTAACATATGCAAGAGTATTGGTAGAGGTGAAACTGAATCAACAGTATCCGACAAGTATAAGATTTGAAAATGAGGTGGGCAAAATAGTAGTGCAGGCAGTACACTATGAGTGGAAATCTGTGCTTTGTGAGAAGTGTAAGAATTATGGCCATGAAATCTTGGAATGTAGAAAGTATATACAGGAAGAAAAAGAGAAGAATAAAAAACAACAAGAGATAAGTGCACAAATGGTGGTAGAGCAGCAGGAAGGAAGAAAGGAAGCACAAAAGACAGCAACAGAACAACAGGGAACAGAAATGCAGCAAAAGGAAACAAGGGTGGAGAATAAAAAGGTGGAGAAAGGTAGAAATCAAACATACAATTATGGGTATAGAGAAGGGAAATATGTGAGGAAAGCTGTAATGGTGCAAGAAATACCTTTGAAGATAGATAATGCTTTTGCTACATTAGGGCAACAACTAAATGAAGAAGGGGCAAGTACTAGTCAAGCAGGGTAGCATATAGTGGCAATGGGGATTGAAAATGTAGGAAAAAGAGGGGTTGAATATGAAAAAGGTGGGGGGAACCCACCAAAATATGGATAAGATTGGATTTTGGAACACCATAGGATTAAATAATTCAGATAAACAGAAGGAAGTGAATCTATTTATGCATAATTCTCAAGCTAGATTATTTGGTCTTCTGGAGACTAAGGTTAAGAGAGAAAAAGCTCAGAGAGTAGCTCTTAACCTGTGCAATGGTTGGTCATATAGTACAAATCTTAGTCAACATAAAGGTGGTAGAATCTGGTTATTATGAAAACCTATGGTGTTTGATATTAACATCTACAAAATCACAGAACAACTTATTCACTGTGGAGTGCAGCATAGAGGTACAAAGAAGAAACTGGCAGTTACAATGGTGTATGGTTTCAATGATGCAGCACTAAGAAGAAAATTATGGGAGGACATTAAAGAAATTCATGAACATATGTCAGAACCTTGGGCAGTCATGGGGGATTTTAATTGTGTTTTGAATAGAGATGAAAGGATTTGGAGCTCCATTACATTGTCAGAAATAAGAGAGTTCAAGCAGTGTATTGATGAATGCACTCTTCAGGATATGAAATGTTCAGAGGCTTTCTTTACATGGAATAGGGTGGATATGAGAGAGTATATAGTAGGATTGATAGGATGTTGGTGAATAATAAATGGATATTGGCTCTCCAGATTCAGAGGTCTATTATAGAAATGAAGGGAATTTTGATCACTGTCCAGCTATAATAAGATGGGTTGGAGATCAAAATAAGCAATATATGTTCAAGTGTTTCAATATGTGGAGTTTGGCACCAGAATATAAGGAGAAGGTTAAACAGGGATGGAAGACAACTAAAAATGGGACCAAAATGTATGAGTTGGTAGGGAAATTGAATAGCTTAAAAAGTAAACTAAGGCAGCTGAATAAAGAGAAATTCAGTCAAATAGAGAAGAAGACATATCAAGTACAAGAAGAGTTAATGCTACGCCAGCAAAGTTTGCAGCAAGACCTTTGAACCAGGAATTGCAAGAGGAAGAAGCAAGATTAATAAGGCAGTATAAGAGATTGAAGGAAGCTAGGAATCAGTATCTAAGTCAAAAAAGTAAAGTGCACTGGTTGGAAAAAGGGGATCTAAATACCAAATACTTTCACAGTATGATGAAGGCTAGAAGGAATATAAATAGAGTTTTCTCTATACCTAATTCAGAAGGAGTGCACAGAACAGAGATAGAAGAAATTGCTAAAGCTTTCATTGAATTTTACACTACATTACTGGGTACAAGCAATAATGAAAGGGAGCATGTAAATAGTGAACTGGTTAGGCAGAGGCCAATAGTAACAACAGTACAAAGGGAAGTGCTAGAAGCAGAATTCACAGAAAGTGAGGTTAAAAAAGCTTTATGGGCAATCAATGGAGAGAAGCCACCAGGTCCAGATGGCTATGGAAGTAAATTCTTTAAAGACGGTTGGAAAATAGTGGGGAAAGATGAAGTGGCTGCAGTATTAGAATTCTTTAGAGCAGGAGAAATGCTGAAAGTACTGAACCACACAGTGATAACTGTGATGCCTAAGAGCACTCATGCTACAAGTGTGGGAGACTACAGGCCTATTGCAGGATTTAATAAAGTGTATAAGGTGATATCCAAAATGATTTGTAACAGACTAAGATTGGTGCTGCCTAATTTGATTTCTGAGAATCAGAGTGCCTTTGTTGCAGGCAGAACCATAGTACAAAATATTTTGATTTGACAATATTTGGTAAGGTTATATAACAGGAAGAATACAACACAGAGTTGGTTGATAAAGATTGATCTTAAAAAGGCGTATGATTCTGTGGAATGGACATTCGTGGAAGAAATGCTTCATGCATTAAATTTTCCTCAAAGATTCATTAAGTGGATTATGGCATGTATAACTACAACAAAGTATAGTATTGCAATAAATGGAGGGTTGTATGGTAATATAAAAGGGGAGAGAGGTCTACGACAGGGGGATCCAATATCACCTCTGTTATTTGTAATTTGCATGGAGTATATGACAAGAATACTGAACAAAGTAGCAGAAATGAAGGAATTTGGATATCACACTAAGTGTAGAGGGTTAAAATTGAATCATCTATGTTTTGCAGATGATGTATTGCTATTTTGTAAAGGGAATTACCAATCAATTATGCTTTTATTAAGAGGGATGCAAGCTTTCTCAAACGCTTCTGGTTTGAGTACAAATGCAGGAAGTCCAATATTTTTAGTGCTAATATGCCAAAGCAAACTCTGGAAGACTTATGTGAGGTAACTGGATATCAGAAAGGGAATTTGCCTTTTAGATACTTGGGAGTACCAATTTCAGCAAAAAAAATTGTCCAGCATGGATTGTTAAGTGCTAATTGATAAAATGACTGCTACAGTAAAGGCATGGAGTTCCAGAAACCTATCTTATGCTGGGAGAGTTCAGCTAATAAACTTAGTGCTGCTACAGGTACATACATATCGGTCGTCAATTTTCATCCTTCCTAAAGCTGTGTTGAGAAGACTTACTGCAGTGTGCAGAAATTTTCTATGGGATGGGAGGGAACAGACAAACAAAGTCCCATTGATTGCATGGGATATGCTCTGTCGACCAAAGAACAAAGGAGGTTTAGGGATAATGGACTGTATGGTCTGGAATGAGGCAGCAATTGCTAAGTATGTGTGAAATATAGCTCAAAAGGCAGATAATCTATGGGTGAAGTGGGTGGATCATATATACATTAAAGGGGTATGTTGGAAACAATATAAATCACCAACTGATTGTAGTTGGTACTGGAAGAGAATTTGTAGTGTAAAAGAAAAATTTATGGGTGGATATATAGGGGATGAATGGAAACAAGAGGGAGGAAGGTATTCTATACCAAAAGGATACATATAAAGGAAAGGGGAGATAAATGATTGGCCTTGGGGAAGATGGATTTGGAATTCAGTTAATATTCCAAAACATAGTTTTATAAATTGGTTGGCAATGCATAAAAGATTACTGACAAGGGAAAGATTGGGGAAAATTAGAGTGTGCGCAGAAACGAGATGTGAAATATGTGGGGGAGGTACAGAAACATTGGAACATTTATTTTTTGAATGTCATTTCTCGGAGGAATGCTTGAAATTTCTGAAGGAGTGGCTTGGATTGAGAGCAAATGCAGTAGGCATTGATGAAATATGGCAAAGGCTAACAAGAAATGTCAAAGGAAAAATATGCAGGAAATTGATCACAACAGTTCTGGCAGCTTTGGTATACAAAATATGGCAAGCTAGAAATGATGCAATATGGAATGGCAAAGTACCGAGTTCAGTGATGGTGTGTAAACAGATTCAACAAGAATGTAAAGTTAGATTGAGTATGCAAAATAATAAAAAAGAACGGAGAAGTAGTAGGGAATGGATAGAGAATTTATATAGCAAGAAGATAGGAAAGGATAGATAGGAGATTTTGCGATTAGAAGGACTTCTTCTAGTTTGTACAATTGATTGAATGTAATTTTGGTTTGGTTGGAGATTAATAATATTTTTTCATTACACCAACAAAAAAAAGATTCTGTATTTTTTAAGGCAAGGTATACGATGTAATTATAATTCGGATTTACTGTGTAATTTTAATAGTTAGGTATATAGGGTAAATAGTTTCTATAGATGTGTATACCGTGTTTTTCCCCTATAATGGAACAATCCATAGTTTCAGTTTATATAATGTTCATTGGTGTATACTCTATAGTAGTAGTGACAAAATGGATTAAAAATAATTATCTATTCATATTATCCACTAAAAAAATATGTTGGATAATGTACTTTTACAAAATGAGGCAAATATGGATAAGAACCATATTATCCCACTTAGAAAAATGGATAATTAATGGATTTAACTTTCACATTTGTAAAGAATCAAATTGGCGGTTCCTTCAGTTTGGGAGATTAGAAATTCTTCCAAAAATAATCATATTCAAGAAGCTATGTAATATAAATATTTATATTATCCATTGGTTAACCGGTTTCTATCCGTATTAAATATGGATCGAGTCGAATAATTTATTAGTTTTTGCATTATCTGTTTTCGGCCGGCCCATATTCGATCCGAGCCGCCCATCTGGCACCCAACTCTATAGGCGTCTAAATTTTTTATTTAATTAACATCAAACTAGAGAGAATTAAATGATTCAAGTTACAATTTAGTAATTGCAACTCCACGTACATTGCTTAAATGTAGAGTTTCAATTTCACATAGTAATAATACAAAAAAAACCTTCTTTAGTTTTACCTTTTCTTATTTGTATTCATGGACCCGCTACATTCCAAAACAAATTAAGAAAAGAAGGAACAAACCTACAGATAAATATGGGTTCTGAGCTAGTATTAATGGTGTTCAACGTAATCAACTAAGAAAGGTTATTTATTGAGAAAGAGAGGAAAAAGAAAAAATAGAAGAGGAATTTAACGAAAAAGAGATAACTTGAAAAGTTGAATATGCATAACTGACACTTGAGAGAGTCTAGAATGCAATAGAAATATCAAAACAAGTAACGTTAAATTAAACTAACAAACCATTAATGGATCAAACTTGGTCCATCCAGCTACAACTTGAGCCTTTGTTTTTTCACAGAATGACCAAGTTTGCTCCATTAAAGAGAAGGGCTAAAATAGAAAGAAAAAAAAAAGTGAATTCTCAAGTCGTCTCTTTTGAGCCAGAGTATTAATTGCAGTCTCACAAATCTTAGAGTTCAAGGTAATTAATTCAAGTGCCTCCGGCGAAGTTAGGCGGCGGCCAAACACCTCCGCCGCCGTCCGTCATATAAGTCAAGCAAGACAGTGGCACCAAACACAACCCTCTGCTTCTAAGATCTCTTTTTACTTCTTCACTTCCGTTCATCTCTCCACCACCCTAGAAAAAAAATTAATTAATATTTCAATTTTAAAAATAAAAATAAAAAAGATTTTTTTTGATAATACTTAATGGTAGAATAGATGCATGAAGTTTTATATATCTTACTCCATGCAGTGATCTGCTGGTTTTGTTGCGTGACGATTTCATGTATGGTACACTTAGTGTCTGCAAGAGGAAGAGAACCAAACATTTCATAGGCAATTATACAATATATACTGCACATGCACATACATACACATAAGAGGTGCAGGTAATGGCAGCCCGCTTTTGCGTTCATGTAAGGTCCAGAAAGAGCAGATTAATATAGAATAGAAAAATTAACGTAAAGAGTTTTGGGTTTAATTATTTGGTAAGTGTTGAACCAACATATGCCACAAAAGCCCAAAAACCCTAGCTAGCTGGTGTGCAGGTTCTTGTACGTTAAAGTCGGAGAAGGTGCAATTGGTACCTCTATTTAATACTATTGATTCGTATACTGATAGTGTGATAGAATTTTTTACATACTATTAACGTAGCTTAAATTGATATTACAAGTCACTCACAATTTATTTTGGGTTAGCAATAACTACAACATTATTAAATAAAGTCTGCAGCTAAGTTTTAGTATTATTAGCAAGTCACTTGCTATAAAATCGAAAATTTTGATGAAAAAGAAATATTTCTGCAAAGGATCGGCTAGCTAAAGTCGATAAAAAAAACTTGGCTTTTAGTGGAATATAACACCAGCAACAATTTGTTAGGAATCAGCATGTCAACAACTTAATTTATAGTGAGAGAACATAAAGGTCGGCCCTCTTAACCGACAACATAATTACACCCTAAAATGAATAGTCTTACTACATAAGATTTTTTTTTTATTTTTTATTTCGCCAACCTTTCCAACATTAAAAGAAACTGGGAATTCGCCACTATTATAATGGGAGTTAGAAGTCAAGTGTTCCATAGAGCTTAGTAGCTTTAATGCAAATTATGTATTTATATTAAAAATTTATTAAATATATATAAAATTAATTTCAGAGTTCAATTACTAACACCCGATCCTGACTTCAACTTTACTATTATGTAAAGGATTTATATTTTACACAAATAACAATGTAAAAGTATGAAAATTAATATTTTCATAACAATGTAGAAGAAGAAGAATGTTATAGAAGTGGAAAAATGGTACCTCAACTTGGTTCTGAAGGAATTTGATATAACCAATAGCCTCCATTAGAACCGATGCTGTGTCCGTCTGCAGTATTCTCCAAAAAAAAAAATTGTCAAACATTCCACAAACTTCACACATATGTGTCTCTCTAAATAAAGAAACGAAAAACTTAATGCATATTTAGTAGTTTTAGCAACTTTAAGCAATAGTGCGTTGTGAACAATATTTGCTTTCTCGGGGTTATACCCTAAGCATGCACTTAGCCACTGTACAATTCCATGAAATTTGTGCTATCCAAAGTTTGAATCTTTGGACGCCAAAACAGCCGTCCACTTCAAAATAAATACAAATTATCTCCGCTGCAACAGTTTTAAAAATCTACTAATCATATAAAAAATCTCGTGTATATAAGTTAAATTATTTACTACTAATAACTATTTGAGTAGGAATGAGAAGATCTCTTTGTATGGTTTTGATATTCCCACCTCATGAATTAGCTTTTAGGGCTGAATTAAGCGCATGTAACATTACTTTTATGACTATGCATGACTTTGTAATGATATATGCTAATAAGCATACATTAATTGATAATTCACTAGCTAGCTAATAGAAGATGTAGTATATATGGCATTACAATAGATAATTCACTAGCTAAAAACTTAGAGATACTGATGCAAAATATAAAACGTACCTTGCCAAAAGGAGCTACCAATTGTTGAAGAGCTGCTATTCTATCTCCTAGTTTCTCCTTTCTCACCTGCGCTTCAATAAAGCAAAATCATCCATGAAATATCAATCAAACGTTATAATTTATACACTATCACGTTAAATTAACCGACAATAATAAGTAACTCTCCATATCAAGTATGATATGATAACCTTGAAAATAGACTACTTATAATCTGCCATAACAAATAAATTTTACTGATAATGTAATTTTTTTGGAATGTCAATGCATATAATTTAAGTTGTCTGTTTGACCTATGGGTCACGGGTTCGAGCCGTGGAAACAGCCACTAATGTTTACATTAAGTTAGGTTGTCTACGACATACTCCTTTAGTGCAGCCTTTCCCTGGACCATGCGTAAACACAGGATATTTTATGCATTGAGCTACCGGTGCATATAATTTAAACTCTAGATACATTACCTTAAAGGGTGGACAGGATGCGCGTGAATCTACTCTTGATTTCTTTGGTGCATTTTGAGGTGCCTTAGGCTCCAAAATATTGCTGGTCCTTTTAGCTTCAGGCACTCCATTACTAAAGGCTGATATCTTCAAGATTCAAAAAAAGAGTAAACTTTATCACATTTAATCATACCAACCTTACCAAAGTATAAGGCAAAAGACGAACTCATTTCTGAGGAAAGGGGAAATAAAAGATAAAGAGATATATAAATGTATAAAGCTGAAGTAACCTTTAATATGAGAAAAAGAAAAGCTTTCTCTTTTCTTCTAAATTATTCGAAAAGTGAAAAAGAAAAAAAAAGATTTCTGGCTTTCCCAATTCTCTTAAATACTTAAGAATCTCAAACAGTATCCACAGAAAATGAAAGTTTTTAGTTTGATTAATTGTCTTTCAATTCCTTAGAATTATTATGCAATGTAAGTATATATGACTCTATTAAGCTTAAGGTAAAATGCTCTACTCCTACTTGCTAGCAACGTAGTAAGTAATGCACATTGAAATGCATGCAAAAGCAAATAAACAAGAAAAACAAAACGACACTGACATTTGAGAAGAAGAAATTCGTAGGTGAAAAAAAAAAGAATAGTTGAAGTTAAAGTTGAAAATAATTATTGTAAATTTGTAATTGGCCATATAGTTTTGTGAGTGAAAATTCACTTGAAGTTCATTTTTGCGCATAATGTGACCAAACCATAATTTTGCATAAAATGAGATAAGAAATAAGAAAGAAATACTAACACTGGAGGAGCTATCTACTGGACTTTCACTTGATGAATGCTGGAAATGATTTGTTAGGCCATATGGTTGGCTAAAGCTCCCTCCATATCTTGAAGAATTGACGAGATCCAACGGCTGTAAATTCATATCCAAAGAGCTAGAATTTGCTAAATATGATGCTTGATTAATAGTATTCAAGTTGGATACATTTATTGTGGGATATATCTGACTAAATTTTCCTCTATTATTAGTAGTAGTACTAGAGTTTGAGGAGTAGAGAAGATTATGATCTCCAGGATAAAGTTGAAGCCCAGTATTGATCATTTGACATCCAGAATTAGAAAGAGTTCCAAACAAAAGTTTAGCATTCATATCACTCAATTCTCTTTCCTCTATATTTGATGGACTTTTCAACATTTGAGTGAATCTTGGGTATGAATCTAATGAATTTTCTTGCTTTACTAATTGGCTGCTCACACTGTTATTAGCCCAATGAAACCCCAAATCTTGAGTCATAGAAATTAAGTTTGTGCCACTTTGCTGCTGCTGCTGCTGCCTTAATAATAATGGATCACTTGAGTTTGTAGTATTGATTGCTCCACTAGAATATGAACTAAGACAAGTTCCAGCACTGTTCCTAAAAAAAGGAAAAAAGATTAGATAAAATGTAAGTGAAAGTTCAATAGTTAGACTAAGAACATTAATGGAAAAATGAAGGGAAAAAAATTTAGCACTATTGCTTTTGAGGAAAAGTAACAATCAAAGTTTCAAGATTAATGTAAATATTGGTCCATGAAAAATGAAAGAAAAAGGAATTTAAGGGAACTTTCTATTTGTTGCACATCAAATCAACAAAGAATGTTTATAAGAAAAAAAAAAAGAGAGAAGAGATTCCAATATTCCCAAGTCTTTCTTTCTTAAAGATAGATCATAATAATGGGGTTTTGTTGCAAGTAGCCAAAATATAATCATTCATATCAAACACCATAACTAAAGTAGTGTCTCTCTTTAGTTTTTAGAGAGAGAGAGAGAGAGAGAGGAAGAGAGAGAGAATTAAAGTGACTTACAAGATAGTACATGGGGTCCAAGTATGTGTAGTGTTTGTTGCATCTCCATAGCTAGAATTAGAAGATGAAGAATTAGGAGAAATACCAAGAGGAAGTTGATCTTGGAACTGGAGTTGATGATATTGTTGGTGGTGGTGATGGAGATTTGCAGGCTCCATAATTTAAGAAAAAAAATATGAGAAGTTTGCTTTTGCTTTGCTTTTTTTTGGCTTTGTTTTTTAAGGCACTTGAAAATCCCAAGATGAAGAATAATATAAAAGCAAAAGTACTTAAGCTTCTCTCCTCCTCTATCTTCTCTCTGCAAAATAAAAAACCCTTGCTAGCTAGCTCTTCTCTACTACTACTATACTATATTTAACTCCAAAAAAAGAATTTAACATACACAAATTTGTTATGTAAGGTGACAACCACATATATCATCTTCACTTTAAGCAACTTTTCACCATATAAGTCTTGTTCTTACTCATTCAATGTCTCAAAGGGCCTTAAAGCAAACCTTGAAAAGAAAGAAAATAAGCAAGCAAGCAAGAAGAGAAAGAACCCCTAGCTCTCATGATATATACTCTCTTTATTTTATTTTATATGACGTTGTTTAATTAGACACGAATTTTAAGGAAAAAATAAAGACTTCCACCACATATCCAAAAATATTGTTAGACGTTTCATGACAATTTTATAACTGTAAAAGCATCTCATTAAGTGTAAAACGGGTAGTTTTAAATTAAAAAGTTTCTATTGTTGGTGTTTACCTTCCATCTATTCTTCTAGCTTATATTGCTATTATTATCTTTCTGGCCTTTGTTGTTGATATTTCTTATTTCTGTTGTTTCTTCTCATCTTTCTTGAGCTGAAGGTCCGTAGGAAACAACCTCTCTACCTTTCTAGGGTAGGAGTAAGGTCTATGTACAGACTACTCTCCCCAAACCTCGCTTGTGGGATTCCACTGGATTTGTTGTAATCTAGATTAAAAAGTTTTCAAATGTGGGCATATGTCATTTTTATTTAAATGGACAAATAGGATATATAAGGTATACTATATTAAATACTATTTTTTCCTTTTTCTGCCAAACTTTTTGCACCTTCACAATATAAAAACGAATTTCATGTCTCCCACTCTTGTCTCCAAGACTCTTATAAATAATTATATTTTTTTTTTAGGTGGAGGGGTAGGGTGGGGGGGCGGGGGGCGTAGGTATTTTGGGTGACTGCAATTACAGGGAGATGATTATAATTCCCCTAAGGCTATGATTAAAAATGCCTGGCGCTGCTGCCTTCAATCCCAAGACTTTGAAGGAGAAAAAAAAAAGATGATATTTTCTGAGAAAAGAAATGATAGCAACCATGTTAACTTCTTCTGATTGTTCCTTCTCGTTCTTTCATACCCACATGTTAATCTTTGAGAAGTCTTTGTATAGTACTGAGCTTTGGTCGGTATCTTAAAACACAACACAAAATGCTTGTTGCGAATGGCCAATTGGATATGCTAGCTTATCTTTCCATTATTATTCATGTGGTCCATACTATACATTCAACAATAAAAAATGAAGTTATAAATAGTAAAATGCTTTTCGTTTAAAGAAAAAATACGTACAAACAATTTTCTTTCTGAATTAGTAGTGCTATAAAGGAAGACAGTATCTATTACATTGAAATATTGAATAGCTCGAGTTTAATTATTTGATCGCTCAATGCCTCAAAATTTTCTCTTGTATGTTGTCTTTCTCTCGTTCGATACTCCAGAACTTCTCGAGATTTAGAGGGTAACAACATGAGAACTACCTGAAACCTAGAGTTATCAAACATTTTGATTTTGTATATACGTATTTTTTTCTTGGTTTAATCATCTGATATTCGAAACCACGTTTGATCATTCAAGGAAAAAAGCTTCTTACCAAGAATTTTTCCATTCTCAGACTCAGAAAGTGAAACATGTTGAATTTCTTATCTCCGATGAAAAGATGCACAGGTTGAAATGTTACAAGGACAAAGTGATAAAACGTTTTTGATTACGTTCCAGAGTAGAACTAAAGGAGAGCCACAGCACTCAAGTGTATGAAAACTACGTGTACGTAAATGAACCGTAACAGGGTTAGAAGAAGAATTCATATAAACACAAGAAGAATTGAACAAAAAATAGTAGCTAATGAAACAAAAAAATAAAGATGAAATGGGGACCAAATATTGGAGAAAGCCATCATATATTTGCATACATCCATTTGCAAAAAATAAGTGTACTTTTTCAGGAGAAGTAGCCCGATGGGACACACCTTCACTACACCACGCTATGGGACTAGGAATGAAATAATGATGTCAATTTGACCTTTCCATGACATCATAATTATCTTATTTTCTTTTTCTTTTTCTTTTTTTCTTTTTTGTACTTTAAATTTTCATTTTCTAAAACTATTTTCAAATGCCTGAAAAGTTCAGATTTTAGCGGAAGAGAAACTAACGGATCATTATAGATCTTTGTTCCCCCAAAATAAGTTTGTCGAATAATCTTTTTATACTAGAGATCATTCAATAGAACATCTTAGTTAGGTGTTTTTTCCACTATTTTTCTAGATAAATGTTCTCTTTCTTCACCTTTTTCAATATCTACTCAAGGAAGTATTTGATTCTTAGTTCTTATTGAAATGATATAATACTATATGTACGTTCAACTTCATTTATTTCAGCACACATTTGTACACTAGATTGGAAAAATGTTTCCTCTAATTTTTGTGTACATATTACTATCTGTTTTAATGTTAGGGAAAAAGTCATGAAAAGCTTCATTACATATATACGAAGAGTCACAAGTTTACATAACAAAACCCCCCTTTAATTTTACATGCAAACATTAGTACTTAATATAGTCACACTTGGTCTTTGTAACCTGCAGAGAATTCCATCTTCATGTATAATGTACTACCCCTACTAATTATCTAATTTAGGAAAGATGTACTCCATAAATAGTAAACCAATACCAGTACGTATTTAGACCCTTTAGTTTAGGATCTAGTCAAGCTAGCCTTCTGTGCAGTAAAAGGAAGACAACCTAGTCAATTAGTACCCATATCGTTATGGCAAAATCAACTTATTTTTAATAATTCACTCAAGTGTTAGGATCAAACGTTTACCATCATGTCAAAAACTATAGCTAATAGTAGGGATGTTCAAAACCGAACCGAAACCGTTAACCGAACCGAACCGATGGCTTGTTCGCTTATTGGTATCGGATTATCGGGATTATGGATGGTGAACGGATTGAGATTTAATAATTAACGGCTTAACGGTTTGGGGGCGAATTATTAAATTTTCTTATCAGGTAAACCGTTAACCCGTTAAGAATTTTTATATTTATACTTTTACCATTATCAATAATTCTTGTATGTACTAGATTGGAAGACGACTCTTCAAAAATATTGTTAGATTAACAAGACAGTCTTTTGAATTTGAATCTGACTAGTCTGAAAGCATCGACATGTCATCTTACTAGGCTTAGAATTTAGACGCTGGATGATATTATTCCCGGCATACTACCCGTTGAATTTGAACGTTCTTTAAACCAAAACCGTCGCAAATACGTGCAAAATTGTAACATAGAATGATAGAACTGTTTGATGTCTGTAGCTAATGCCTAATGGCAGTCGTCTATGAATTTTCATGAATTATAAGTGGACATGAATTGATTTCCTCTCTGGACCATAATATTACCTTTATAGATAACAATACTAATGGTATTGATTGTTCAAAAACTAACATAGATAGTTTGAACTATGAATTTGACCGTTTAAATTACAACACGTAAATAATTATCTTCTTATCGTCACATCTGTACCATAAAATCTCCATTAAAAATTTTCCAAATTACAATAAAGGAAGAAGACACATCATTTAAAATTTAATATAATCACATCAAAATGTGCTAATATGCAGTAGCTTTTAGAATTACTGTCAAGCTAAAAGTGACAAGTCCCGTATAACATTTTAATTGGAAGTGTTGGATGAATTAAATGCATGCTTATGTTAAAGGATTTGTTGATTGTTCAAAAAAGTTTATTTGGTTTAGTCGATAAATCGCCCGATAATCTTTAATCCGATACCAATTCGGCCATTGTCTTATTGGATGGCTAGCGGATTACTATATTTATAATCCGATAACCGATAAACCAAACCTTTAAGCGTAATTATCCGTCCGATAAGCACCCCTAGCTAATAGCAAGGAATCAACTTTATTTCTTAACCAAGCTCACCAAGCAAGCATCATGTTCGACCATGACTCCGACCCGGGATACCCTAGCCCCTTCGTGGGTTTTGCTATAGGTAGGATGTTGGAGTTACCCCTACAAGTCCCCTCCAACACCTAGCTCATGCACCATGTTGCTCTGGGAATCGAACCCATGAACTTGGCTTTGTACCACTTATTTGGATCAAGCCGTCCAAGTTTCAGCTGATTGAGCTGTGACATATGTGTTGATTTGATTCAACAGTTAAAGTGGACGTGACTCATCAAAGCGGATCAAAATTGTGTATAGGGGTGTACATAGGTCGGGTTGGTTCGGATTTTACAATTACCAAGCCAAACCAATTGTGTCGGGTTATTAAATCTAAAGACCAAACCAAACCAATAAAACTCGGATTTTTCAATCTCGGTTTTTCTCGGGTTTTCGGGTTTTTTCCGGTAAAATTTTCGTAGAACAAAACATATAATTTGTGCTCAAAATATTATAAAAATATTCAACAGTAAAGACAACAAAATTATGTAATATAAATATTGCTAATTAAAAAGTCATAATAAAATAAACATAATCTAAAAGTACTAAGTCATGCTAAAATAAGTTGACTAATAAGGGAATATTAATAACATGACTAAACGCCAAAGAAAAAATAAAAATAGGTTATGCATTTTTATCTAAATTATTGCAAAACAAAAAATAGATATTCAATACATTCCCGTTCGTAGTATTGAATTGAATGTCTTTTGTTAGCATTAGTATTGATTTGATTTTGATTTGGGCTTTTGTTAGCATTATTAATTTACTAATATTAATGGTTATAAAACTTATTGGAATATTCAAAAGTTATAAGTCCAACCTTGAAATAATACCTTAAAAGATAAAATTATGAAATTTTTTAAGAAATATTTATAAATTACATCACAATAAGTATATTTATATATTAAATATATCTAAAATTTCTATATATTTAATGTCGGGTTGGTTTGGTTTCGGTTTGATTTTCGTTTGTTAAAACCAAACCAAACCAATTATGGTCGGGTTTTTTTTTTTCCAACACCAAACCAAACCATAGTCGGGTTTTTTTTCTCGGTTTGATTCGGATTATCGGGTTGGTGCGGTTTGTCGGTTTCCTTTGTACACCCCTAATTGTGTATATCGATGGTCAATATTATATAACCTGAGGGATCAAAATGCAATCCAAATCAAATTTGGATAATTGATGATGGGCTATAATTGCGTATTTTAGTCGCTTATTACACTCTAATTTATTGCACTTTAGTTGAGTTTGAGCTTTAATCGCTAGTGTCTTGCACTAACTGTGTGTTT